CAACCAGTCGTCCTTGCGTCAATTTCTCATCTCGTTCTGAGACAATGCCCGTGCCATTGTTTCGAAGACTAGCAAATCTGTGAGTAGAAATTTCCAGGAGTACATAGCTTTGGCTGATATCTCGTCTGTGTCCAGGTATTACCTTGCTTATTCATGACATCTTGCTTTTTGAATTGAACCCTTCGGCACCCAGTTCCTTGCAACTTCTCCTGACTGTATCCTTTTTATCCATATCAGAGCATTACCCTCCCATACACTAATGTACAACCCTGTTGGTCCTCCAAGTTGAAATAAGATGTATTATTGGTCTTCCATGAAATTAATTTTGCAAAGTTTGTCTGGCGAGACTAGATAATACGACTGTAAATCTCGAGCAAATATTTTAGCGTGGAAAAGTGCACTAGAGCATATAATTAAAAAGACATTATGACCAAGGTACAGGAATGAGACCCATAAGTCCGAACGAAGCAAGATACAAGCCACTCGCTAGGAATGAATGTCAGCATTGTATATTGAAGCAAAATTGTTCACTCACATGCTAAGAAACTCGTGAAGAAATTGAACTCCGAGTGCCACCACAGTGTAAGCACAAGGCTCGTCCAACCGAAAAATATCGTCCCCGTCAACAGCTAGGATAGTAAAATCAGCCTCCTATGAATAGGAATCAAGGACAATTGTATAGAGGGACGTACAGGAATCGTCACTCGTAGATGTTGATTGCTTTGCCACTGGGAATACTACACACGACGAGGAATTAACATCATACTCCGCGCTGAGGCATGTTACGCACCTGCGGCCGTCTTCCTGTGAATCTAGGAAGGACCAGTAGATATAGGAATACAAGGATAGTCAAAATCCCCAAGCTGACGCTCGTCCACCCGCTTATTCTGTGATAACGATTGAAAGTCAGCAGGTGCACATCCCGTTTTTGCTTGGAGAAATGATGATAAGACGTACCGACTCCATGGCCAAGCTGACTTTTCGTATGAGTTACCGACTCTGGAGTCCTCAGGGCGTTCCAGCAGTTTTGGAAGATGGTGTTCGATAGATGGGTTGAATTCAAAAGGCAAGTTGAAGCAATTGTCTCTTCACAACTCGTTGGAGTCGTAAAAGTCGTTGAAGAACGGTGCTCTAGCGTCCCAATGGATGATCGGGATGGGGGGGGCCGGACTCAGCAAGTAGGCGAAGGAACCTAGCTCGCTTCTCTGGCCTCCATTCACCCTTGTCGAGATGGAGTATTGGCAAACGTCGGCGAACAGACCTCTCTCGGATCATTCTTACTAGGTTGTCAGCTACAATATCCGTCTCGACCGGGAAACGGTCGTCAATGTCATCCCAATCATATATGAGCTCTCTTTTGACCACGCAACAGATTTCGAGGGCTTCAAGAGTAGGTAATAGATGAAGATTGACTGGTGCTTGTAGGACCTGAAGGAAACCTAGGGCCACTTTTCTCATACACAGATACTTCAGGCGATGAAGGGTAGACAGGAAAAGGACAAAAGAGCTTGGGAGTCCAGGTTGCATTAGAAGAGACTCTTCAACATCGAACAATTCCAAGGTCTGTATACCGCTGAGAAGGTGACGGCGTTCGTATTTTGCCAAACAACGCCACACATCCTCCGCCATATTCTCATAAATGGCATGAACACCGAGCTCTTGAAGAGCAGGTAGTCGGAATATTGACAGAAGATATTCGATATATTGGGCGTGCATCGCACCCAAGACTAGCCGACGAAGGGAAGGAAGGTGAACTACTTGAGAGTGCTGGTCTCGCGCTTCGAATGCGGGACCCCCATTTCGAAGCGCAAGAGAGCGAAGTTGCGACATTGGGGTGATAAATTTTATGAATAATGATGGGGGCAAAGGATCTTGTAGTGAAAAATCGAGCTCTGTAAGATTTGCCAGGTTTCCGGAAATATAATTCAAAGGAACCCAGTGGAGGGTGAGGGATTGAAGTTGAGGATAAGCCCCACCAAAGAAAGGGAGTGACTCGTCGAGTTCTGTACATGGGTCATCGACATGTATCGGTAGTAGTATGGAAAGCTCTCCAAGTACTACTTTGAACTGTTTTAAGATAGGTGCGGATATCGTTGAAAGACGAGATTGGATCTCGTCTACAATAGACATGTTGTCAATGATAAATGTGAGCTTTTCAACGCGTTGTATATTGAGAACAAGGTATCCGCCAATTAGGCTATCCATCATTTGTGGGGTACACCATTCCTCCTCTTCATCTTGGGTGCGCAAGTCAAAATGAAAATGGAGCGGTATGAC